TTACTAACATTAATATCTCTGATTTATTGCAAATTACCACCATTGTTTGACGTTATCAAGATATGAATTATCTTCGGAATTAGCGGATGCCAAGGCTTTGGTCTGCATACTCCGTCCGCGCGGTTCTTCATTATTACCTCGAGAATGTTGATTTTCAGCGTACCTAGTATTATTGTTGTACGGAACTTTCTTTTCCCCTTCCTGTGCGGGCCAGGAATTATCATCATGATTTTGACTTGTAATTTTACCCCAGTTTGTCATTACTTGACCTTTTAGTTGATCCCAGTTATCATCTAATTTTGGATTTTCTCTATCCCACGAGTCTTTTTTCAATGCTGGTTCAATATTATTGTTGCTCCGGTTTACACTTGTTGATCTTTGTCGCTTATCCCATTTTTGCGTGGTTTCATCGATAACTCCGCGACCTCTGCTATCTCTATTGAAATCCCTAACAGAATCGTTTCTATTCCGGGCAGGATCTCTACTTCTGTCTTGTCTGTTTCTCGATGGATAGCTATCATGTTCCCTATTGCTCCTAGAATAGGGGTCATTATATCCTCGATTTGTAAAGTTTCTATCTTCTCTCGAGTTATAATCACCCCTATCCCTGTTATCTCTGTTACTATAACCATCGTTGTAACCACCTCTATTACGATTAAAGTTTTTATCATCGTTATTATGGGATCCTCGACCACCGGCATTAAATCTGCTCTTATTAAAATTATCATTGTTATTGTATTTATTGTATGAACTGGAATAATCATTTGCGTAATCTTTCCTCCTGTTACCATCTCTACCATCATTGTCATATGATCTGTGTGTATTGTTATCGCCGTACCTATCGGGCCGCTCGTATTCATGACGGTTATAACCAGTTTGAGAACGAATATCTTTATCACCATAACCATCGCGACCGTTGTAGCCACCGTAAGATCTTTCGTTTCGATCACGTTTATCACATTGCCTAGTAGTATGATCAAATGAACTACAAATTTGGCATTGTGGACGACCAGGACGATCAATGTCTTTCCTTGGCGCTTCGCACTGTTTAGTACTATGTCCCTTTTCTTTGCAGTTATAACAAACAGGAGAAGGATCGTCACTCAAAAAACCGGCATCGGCCAGCCACCGGAAATTTTCCTCCGAAGATTTAGCATGAGTGCCTGAAACTGGAGCAAGTCCACTTGGGATTGAAAACGAGGGTTGTGCGAGATAGGTTTTTCCGGTATTTCCTTGAAGGTCGACCAAACAACTAGTGATGGGAATTCCTTCACGTTTTACGGCAATTATTCTTCCGTTGCAACCTTCTTCTCTTAGTTTCGATTCGATCGTCTGAAAGGTCTCATGAGGTGAAACTTTCGCATATTCCTCAAGCCATTTTCTGAATTCTTCAATATCTTTTTCACGATCAGCCTTCAATAGCCTATTCCATGCCTCTCCAGGTGATATACCAGAGGGGTCTGGGTTGACAACTACAAATGGATTGCGATGAAGTTACTCCATTAACCTATCTTAAGAACAAAAAAAAAAAAAAACATTAAAACCTACATGGACTGGGTTTTCGGGTTTTTAAAGGACAATTGGCTGCAAAATGGTCAGATGATCCACACTCATAACATGGTCTATTCCTTGTAAACCGGTCGCCGTTATTATCAATATTGGACTCGGGACATTGAGATGCCACATGACCAGGTTTGTTGCATTTGAAGCTAATAATTGCAACGAATGATAAATTGAAATTAATATTTGAATGAAGAATATAATATTTATATCAAATATAATTTACAACATTACCAATTTCTACGACGACTTGAATCCTCGGTGTAAGTTGATGAATCGGGACAATCTCGCGAGAGATGTCCGGGCCTATTACAATTAGCGCAAGGTTTCTCACCGTAATATGAGCTGTTCTTACTGTAGCGATCATCATCTTTTCGCCCAAAGCGGTTACTAACAACATCCAAATTTTCTGTGGAATCTCTATTTACAGAAGGTTCTAATTTCCTATCATTCTTCTGCACATCAAAACTAGCTGGGTTATCGTTATGAGTAGTATTCTCCCATGGTTCACGCCTTTGATTTTTTTCCCACGGTTCGGTCTCCTTTTTCGAGGATCTTTCTTCTGGTTCATTTAGTTCTCGATTAAACACGGCTGCTTTCTTAAGCCAATCATTTGGATCTGCTTGATCAGAATTCCACGAATCCGAGTTAGGGAGAGGCATAGAATCACCAAAATCATTAAGCTTCTCGGTGGGCTTATTAATTAAA